TCCTTTCGAGATATCTTGGAGCCACCCGAGCTAGAAGATGAAGCGGCACCATGTTCGGTTGCGGCTGCATTCTCTGCATTCAAGCGCTCCTCTTCGTACCTCCTCCGGTACTTGTTCCTCTCATCTCTGAGCCGTGCTGCATGCGCTTCGAATTCCATCATGTCCTGCTGGTTCTGCATCATACCTTCGTAGTACTCCATTGCCTCTTTCTCCTCGGACCTTAATGACTTTTCGGTACGTCCAAGTTCCGCTCTAAGCTTGGTCATCATCTCGTTCTCCACATAGGGTTCTGATCCCATGTCTGGTGGTTTCAACTCCAGTGCGACCTTCAATTGTGCTTCACTCGCACTTGATTCGATCAATTCTTCCTGAAGACGTTTCAGCATCCTCTCTTTACGTAGAATGTCTTCTTCCAACATGTTCACCTTGACCTCGGCTTTCTTGAGTTCGGCGTTGGATGGTTGAGACGGTCGACCGGATCCTTGAATCCTCGCCTGTGTCAACTCCTCGTTCGCCCTCTTCAATTGCTCCCTGATGGTCATGATGAAATTGTCCTGATTATAGGATCGGTTGTTGAGCTCCTCATTCTCTTCTGATAACCATTTGATCTTGCTTGCATACATTGCTTCCTTCATTTTCATCTCCTCAGCATATTCGTGTTTGTTCCTGGCACTCTGCCTTTGTAGTCCAACTAACTCCTGTCTATACAGATCCCTAATGTTCTCAGCATCTGCGACTGCAGTCATGAGCTCGGTTACGGCTCGATCTCTTTCCGCCGATATAGCCTGGATCTCTTCCGTGCCGATGTTCACAACTTGACTAACCATCTCTGCGCTGTTGCGATCAGCGTACTCCCCTAACTGGGTGAGACGATCCCGCATTGCCACACGATCAGTGTCAATCTGGTATTGTAAATCGTGTGCTGCTGAGAGCAAACAGTCTCTGGATTCCGTAAGTTGGGAGATTCTTCGTTGATTTCCATATCCTTCGACATAACATTCTTCGAGGTGTGCCATCACTACTTCGTGGACTTCGGTCTCGTGTTGTATAATCTGGTTCTGTCTTTGCTCACATTCGACCATCCATGCGTTTTGGTGGTTCAACATATGCACTTCGGCAAGTAGTTGTGCACACTTCGCATTGAGGTCTCCATCGGCCCGTGCTAGTTGTAGGTTGTCAGTGCTTGCCCTTGCTCCATCTCCAGCTTCGCTGTCCGACGGCACTGGCACAGTCGACCCATCCTCCAATGCTAGCACTCTCACAGCTCCGGTGTCAGTCCTCCTCCTTGTCTCCCTAGGGCTACGGCCCGACCTCGGCGTCCCCCCCGGTGGTGTCGATTGCGCTGACGGGGAACGACTTCGTGCTCTACCTGTCGCACCTTCTCTCACCACTGTCAGAGTCTCCGCCTCGATCGTACCTGGACTAGAGTTGTGGGATGCACTCATCCGATCTGCGGCCGCAGCAGCTGCTCCAAAAGATGCAGTGCTGGCGTCGGATTGGTCCATCTTCAGTGACTGAGGGTAACTGATCTATCCGATGCGTGTGCGTTTAGATGGTGTTGTGTAAGGCCGCAGCACGTACCCAGCTCAAAGGAGTCCGGATACGGCTGATAACCTGCGAACGGATGGAAAGTGTGCCCTGGCCCCGTTCTAGCCCTTAGTTCAACATGAAGCACGCGCGCTAAAGCTCCTTTTTACCTGGTTGGGCACTTGAGCCAAAAGTATATGGCATGTACCTGTATAGCAACTATACTGGGACCTCATCCCTATTGACAATTAGCGTGAATCTGCCAGAAAAGTGTGGCGGTACTTGATGGCATAGGGCCTCAATTCTGGGAATGCATCAGAGCTCGACATCATTCAACCATTCAGTCCCATCACCCCATCTTGTTTTGTTCCTGTTTCCGCTGTTTCAGCTGGCGTGACCCAACCCAGCCAGGCTTCCCACGGAAACAAACAAACGAAAACAAGTAAAACAAAAATACTGCCGAACAGCCTAACTTAGCCCTGACCCCCGAAGCCCCTCTATCTATCCGTCAGGAAGCTCTGCACAAAGCTCATCAAGTCGATGCGCCAAAAGGCAGAACTGCTCGTGGTTTTGCTTCAGGATCTCCTCCTGATTGAACAAACTAAATGATTCTGCAAAACCATTGGAGTGAAATCTTGCCAACCTACCGCAGCTCTGCAGCAGCTCGCTTTTCTGCAGTGAACGGATTTTCAGGGAAAGCCTTGGGTTCCCAAACAGCCGAGTCGATCGGAGCTCTGCGGAGCTGCTGCGGAGCTCTGGTCGTGAATCTTTGGACATGAATCGTCTTGGCGTTCCTTTTGGCGTTTCCACCCGCCCACGCAAGATCCAACAAACAAACATGAAGAAACCATTGCAAACCTTTCAACACAACTTTCTTTGGGAATTCCAGGATTCCAAGCGGGTGAGTGCTGTCGTGGCTAGCTAGTTGGAACTGCTTCAAGGCCCGTCAAGGTAAAAACTGAGGGCGTGAGGCGATCAGTCAGGAATTGATTTGAAGCTTCGAGGCCATGATGAAACAACATGGTGGACTCTAAATCCCTCATCCGTGCTACGTACTCAACATCACCCTAGGAGCCTTAAAAACATCCATCAGCAAGAACAACTCACACGTCACAGAAGCTTTATACTTATGGTCTTCTCCGGCCCATGTCCTTCCTCCAAACCGTCGGGACCTCACCTGAGCCTGCAAGCTGCGATCCACGTTGTACTTCACAAAGCGTGGCGCCGTCTTGGACTCGTGGATCCACCGCGTGAGTGGCCGGACGAACTCCTCCTTGTTGATGGCTCCCGAACCATCCGCGTCAATCCTAGGGAGGCGAACGTGAGCGTTTTGGAGGCAGGCGGCGTGCATACACGCAGAACGGAAGGGACGGGGGCCAATTGGACATGGCAGCAGCAGCTGTTAAACTATGCGTACTTTTCCAGCAAACACATGTCACATGTCAAAGGCGGCAACGCATTCGACTCTGATTGAAGATGAATAAAAAAGGTAGCGGTGCACGCACTGGAGAAGTGCTATGTAAGTAAACCAAACGAAACAATTTCACGGCACGGCCGCCTTTGAGCAGGTCATGCGTTTCAACGGTCCCATGGCGACACATTCATGCAAGTTGCTTTTTAAATCCCGACGCCCACAAGCGAATCAAACATAACATATTTAGTGGACACCTCGCAGCGCACTTTCCTGTGGCCCTAGTTGCCGTAGATCCCACACAAACCGGTGAAAAAACATTGACAACGCTTTGACAACTGATTTCCTTTGCTGCGATGCCTCGTGCCCTGTGCTGCGATGAAAAAAGGCGACGGCCCTTCAATGGCATCTCAACACATGGATCAACGGCACCTCAACATGGGCCCCGAACGCGCAAAACTCGGGCGCAGCCTGCAACGAATGAAGGGTGGTTGAGGGGATTTGCAGGACATTGCACGGCACCCTTCCAGCGCTCACCTCTGGTCGTCCCCTTGAATAGTTGCTCCAAATCCGCTTCGTCGATGTCCATCACCCGCAGTCTACTCTGAAACTCTGGGTCGGTCTGCGCACCCTTCACCAAATCCTCCAAGGTGAGATCCTGAGAGTTTCTCGCCCTCCGGGCGCAGCTGCCCGGACCAATTCTTTTTCGCAACTAAGCAGGGATGGGCAGGTGCCAAGCTTTCGGGGGAATGGGAAGGGCAAAGCGCATCCCAAACGAAAACCCTTCACCCCCAGTTTCTTACCAGCAACAAATTTTTTACTGCGCCACCAACTTTTGACAAAGACTTTGCTGGTGTCGATGGTGCAGATGGGGCACAAATCAACAGTATAAAGGAAAATCGTTTCTTCCCACTGGTCAGGTGAGAGGTGTTCTTTCCCTCCTCATCTTCGTCACTGCATGGGTCTGTGCCTCCACGGATTCCCATATCATCGTCGTGTGGTACTTCCCGGGAATAAGCACCAGAACATACGCGATTGATGTCCAAACGTATAGTCAAAGGAAGTTTAGTGTGCAAAACTTCCGTGTTACGGACATTCAACAGCTGTTCAACACACCACTCATCATACACCACTCATCAAACACCACTCATCAAACACCACTCATCATACACCACTGATCATGCGCCACTCATCATACACCACCCATGACACACCTCTCCATACACCACTCATCATAAACCACTCATCATACACCACTCATCATACACCACTCATCATACACCACTCATCATACACCACTCATCATACACCACTCATCATACATCGCTCATCATACACCGCTCATCATACACCACCCATCATACACCAGTCATCATACACCAGTCATCATACACCACTCATCATACACCACTCATCATACACCACTTATCATACACCACTCATCATGCAGTGAGCATTAGTTTCAAGAGCTCTAGCTCCAGTTTCAATAATAGCTCTAGCTCCAGCTAGCTCTAGTTTCAATAGCTCTAGCTCCAGTTAGCTCTAGTTTCAATAGCTTTAGCTCCAGGTAGCAGTAGTTTCAATAGCTCTTTCAGTAGCTCTAGCTCCAGTTAGCTCTAGTTTCAATAGCTCTAGCTTCGGTTAGCTCCAGTTTCAACAGCTCTAGCTCCAGTTTACGTGGCAGGCGCAGAACTTTGAACCTCCATGTGCAGAGTTCGTGGCGGGTGCAGCACTTTGTGAACCTCGCGGTGCAGATTTCGTGGCAGGCACAGCACTTTTGTGAACCTCCATGTGCAGATTTCGTGGCAGGCGCAATACAAAATACGTTTTCGAGAGATAGCGGACGCACGAGTTCTTCAATAGAAAGGGTGGCTCCGAAGCTGGCAAGTCAAGCTTTGCGGAACGACGTGTGCGAGACGTCTTGGGTCATGCTCGGATCATGCTCCGGAATCGTCCCATTGTGGTTAGAGTTTTCACTTGTTTCTTGAAGTGCAGATTTCGTGGCAGGCACAGCACGTTGCGAACCTCCATGTGCAGATCTCGAGGTGAGGAGTCCGGCGGGGGATTATGCTGGCCTCTCGACTGAAAATTCTGAAGGACAGCAAGAAGAGCAGCAGCAAGGCTGGCATATGCTGGCATCATCAGCCTCTGACGTTCCCCACTCTCGTTCTGCTCGTTTCCTGGCCGTGACCCGACTGCCGCGTGGGCCCGGGTGACTTGCCTCACCAACTCGCGCGCCGCACCAAGGGTCCCAATTGCCAAGGTGCACGATACAGTAGCCGAAAACGGCTCCAACACTGGCCCAAGTGAGGCCCGTGATCCAAGTGGCGAAAAGATGCTGAGTGCCGACTCCACAGGAAAAGGAGTGTTACGGCAAGTCGTTTTGGTGAGCAAACACGTTGTCCCCCAAGGTGTCCTGCAACAACGTAAATGATGAAGAAGTCTGAACCGTTTCATTTTCCCAAGAAGCGGTAGCGACGAATTACAATCCTATACCTACGCCGGCCAACCCAGCGGCCGGGGCACACCCACCGTCCAAAGCGAAGACTAGGATTTTTTTGCGAAGAGTCACACGTTTAGGCCGTTTCCTTTTCCGTTCAACCTTAAAAACTGAAGGGCTATGGCACTGTGAGACTGAGGATTCAACGGGGCTGACCCGTAAGGACAGCCACAGTGTGCAGCCCAGAATGGCTCCAAGCAAAGGAGCACTATTTTGCAAAAAAGTTGCGAACCAGTCCTGCGCTGGGACACCAACGCCAGGGCTGTTCTGCAAAGCAGATTGCGTGAGCGCAACTAGATCGGCAAGCAGCAAGCGAATTGTTTCAGCCGCAGCGTCATGGCTTGACCAGGCCATTGGCGAGAGGCGCGCCGGGGTGCCCGGCGGGCAAGAGTAATAAAATGCAGCCAAGGTGCAATTAGGAATCCCCAAAGCAAGAAATTCACCAAAACCACCAGGGGAAGAAAGGGGGGTATACGCATTGCAACCACCGGTACAGCGCAGCAGAAGCAGAAGGCAAAAGAGTCCCTTCTTCGGAAGGCCCATCCACAAAGCATCATTCTTGACTTTCTTATTGGGCTCTCGGTCTCGTCCGACACATCTTGGTTGGGATCTTATTGTTGTTTTCTTTTTCGGTCTTGTCTTTGCAAGAAACTGATTTCTGTCCCAATTCGCTCACAAGCTTTGGTCAGAGCTTGTGCTCGCCTTGTCCACGTGGAGGCAGGGAAATAAAGGCTGGGAGCATTCCTTCCGCAACACCAGTCCACAGTCCAAGCAAGTTTCCATGTCCACATAGGCGTTGGTTCCCCTCCTGGTAGTCTTTGCCTGTGGGCAATCGTTGCCTTGATGCCCTGCCGAACTCTCGGAGGTCATCTTGTTCACTCCTGAGGATGAACCTTGAGTCCTCATCAGCATAGGAGGTTCCGGTGGCAGAGTCTCATAAATCTCAGCTGGCGCCTTCATGCATGGACCCGCTAGGTGTCAATGCCTTTGCCGTCGGCGGCATGAACTCCAACTCCGTCCTCAACCGTCGATCAATCTCTTCCGGCGACAACTGTAGCAACCGCTGGACCTCATTCTCCAAGGCTCGCTGCAAGCGGTTCAAGCTCATGTTCTTCTCCTGGATCGGCTCCACCTTCTTGAAGCGCCATGTAGATGACGGTCTCCTCGCCGTTCTCCAGGCCAACCAAGAAGTAGACGTTCTTGGCATAGCCCTTGCCGTTGGAAGGCCGCTGCTTTCTTTCCTTTTCCTTTGGACTTCTTCAGCCCAGTGTCCCACCTGAGCACAAGCTCGGCATTTCGAGCGTTGCTTGGCAGCCAACACCTGCAGGGTAACGCGCCGCTAGCAGCCGACAGACTAGTCCTCAGCCTCCCGTCGTAGCCTGTCTCGCACGACTGCTCAAGCACCGGCGCAGGGGCCAAATCCACATCCCACCCGCAGCACTCCGCGAAGCGCTAAAGGGATCGCTCTACGTAGTGGCAGGAGTTAACATCCCGCCGCACACTGCTATGACATGACCAGTTTGGTGAGCCAAGAGCTTACGAATCTTGTCAACCACCCCTTCGGTGACTCAGATTGCTGCCGCTCGGGCCATGACAGAATCATCACGCCGATCACTCTGCCTCCAGGAATTGACTGCAGAAAGGGCACCCATCTCTCCAAAGAAAATTCAGGAAAGCCTCAAGCCTGTCAAAAAAAATCCGAAAAATGCCACGTCTCACCACTGCTGGTAGTAACACTGATTGGCAGAGGCCCTGCAGTTGAAAGTCTTGGATAGTCAACCCTTCCTGAGAGAGCATGTATGCAAGGTCGGTAACCTCAGTGGGCAAGGCTTCATCCTTCTCCTTTGGTGGACTCCGACTTCGATCCTCTCTACTACTAGCGTCCTTTTCAACAGGTGCTTGAGTTCTGCCCCTGTCTTTAGGGGGGGTAGTGGCCAGGAATCAATTTCAAACTAGGTCCCCAACTTTTTCGGGGTGCTTTAGCTTCCAACACAGGGGGGGGTTTCCGGACCGTTTCGTTGATGATGATGGTGAAGTTGCCAGGACACTCATAGCGCCATACACTTTGAGCAGCAGTTGCTGGTGGCAAACCACTGCCTATCCACACCAGCTGTTTGTTCTTGCGCCTGCAAGGAAATGTTGGTCCACGTTTGACTTTCTAAGAGCTCCGACAACTCCTCAGCTTGCCATGTTCGAGGGACCCCACTGATTTCCACAAATCTCATTTTAGGCTCCCTTGCATCAGAATCTTTACGCAAGTAACCCAGGTCGCTTCCAAGCCCCTTCCTAAAACACAGCGCTTGAGACCTACCCTGCATAAGGCTTTGGGCACGAGTGACATAAGTGTCATGGGCCTCACCTTGTTCTGGGGGGAGCCAACAGAATTCAGGGTGCACAGTTCTATGTTTGGGATCAGTCCAAATAGAAGCAAAAAGTCCTCTTTCACCGCTATGCTTTTCTAACGCAAGCATCTGCACGACTAAGCCAGCCAGTGAGCAACCACTCTTTAGAATCCTTAGCCTTGTCCCATTGGGACCATGCCCAGCTTTGGCCAATTCACCTATGATAGAAGTGATGGGTTCATGAAGGGGATCAGGAACAAAGATCTGTAATGACTTGGGACTAAGACACGGACAGAGACCCGGTCAATTTTTGTGACCGTGGAAACTTCAACCTGAACCGATGGCAGGGTCCACGGAGCCGCATTGCCAAACGACAACAGACCAATATCTTCAACCTTTGGGTCCTTGACCTTGACATGTGAGTCTAGCACGACTGTAGGTGACAGAGTCCACCGTTTTCCCCAATAGTATGGCAGTAACACCTTGAACAGAAAAGCCTGAAAACAAGTCCTGAAGTTGTTCAACCTGATTAGGGCGATGCAAAGCAGTCAAATTTCCCGTCCAGGCCTCACTCTTCTTGATGCTTTGACACAGTTCGTGGAATGAAATCAAACGCACTCTTTGGTTCCAGAGATCACCTTAAAGGTTTTACCTTTGATTCGGGGCGCCAAAGTGAACTGGGGCGCCAAGTATCCATGTATAGATGAAGTCTATTTCTGTAGTATGGTGCCAAGTATCAGAAGTCTATTTTTCATTTTTTCGCTGCTGAAAAGCATTACTGTTGAAATGCGTATCAATCCATAGATGAAGTCTATTTCTCAGTTTTTCTTCACTGCTGAAAAGCATCACTGGAAAAGCACTGTTGAAAAGCAAACCTTTCTTTTTCGAATAGTCTCATTCATCTATGTGCCTTCAAAGTTTTGGGCAAACATGTCATGGGAAAACATACCTAGATGAAGTCTATTTCTCAGGGCGTGGTCACTGCTGAAAAGCATCACTGCTGAAAAGCATAATACCTTTGTTATAGTGACTTAAAGTTTTTGGAAACATACTTTGCGTTTGAAAAGCATCACAGCTGAAAAGCATACCTTCATATATTTGGTATTATGGAGAACTTATAGGACATCACTGAGGCGCTTGTCACTAAGGTACCTTTGTCACTAAGGCACTTCTCAGGCACCTCAACCTCTGTCACTAAGGAAGGTCGTTTCCCCATGGTGGCACAGAAGCACGAATTGACAGGTTGATCGTCAAAAGCTGCAATTTGCATAAAATGATATTATCAGAGCTGGTCATCACTCAAGGTTTCATTCACTCGGTGGTTTGTGATGGATCTGAGTCAGACCCATCACAAAACACTAGCTCCGTCCAGGGCCTGTGCAAACCGTTGATTTATGATGGATTTCAGTGTTGGTCGTCACAAACTCAAGGTTCCGCCGACCCATTGATTTGTGATGGATCTGACTCAGATCCATCACAAACCACTGGCTCAGCGGAACCTTGAATTTGTGACGACCAACAAACTCAAGGAGCTAGCTTGTGATGGATCTGAGTCAGATCCATGACAAATCACTGGGTCACTGAAACCTTGCCCTGGACGGAGCTAGCAGCTACATAGTGATTTGTGATGGATCTGAGTCAGATCCATCACAAATCACTGGGTCAGTGAAACCCTGCCCTGGACAGTGCTAGTGTTTGTGATGGACCTGCCTCAGATCCATCACAAATCAATCCGGTCACAAATCACCAAGTGAATGAAACCTTGATTTGCGATCACCAACAACAATCAAGAATCACTCAAGGTTCTCTGGATCACAAGCCGAATGTTTGCATGTCCAACTGTGCAAAAACCATCCAACATTCCCAAACAATTTGCAAAAATGATGTAATCATCACAAGTCTTGCACTTGGTCAAGCCAAAGAGCTGTGCACCAAGCTCGAAAAGAATGTTGCGACGGACATTTTTATTGTTTTGTTCATTCAACGACTGCCTTTCAAACATTAAAGGTTTGCTCTTGGACAGCGATGCTTTTCCAGTCGTGATGCTTTTCAACAGGAAAAACTGATAGATAGACTTCATCTATGGATTGATACGTTTTTCAACAGTGATGCTTTTCAGCAGCGAAGAAAAACTGAGAAATAGACTTCATCTATGGATTGATACTTGGCGCCATACTATTGGTAGCATTTTCAACAGTGATGCCTTTCAGCAGTGAAGAGAAACTGATAAATAGACTTCATCTATGGATTGATACTACGCATTTCAATTGTGATGCTTTTCAGCAGCGATGAAAAAATGAGAAATAGACTTCTGATCTTGGTGCCATACTATAGAAATAGATAGACTTCATCTATACATTGATACTTGGCGCCCCAGTTCACTTTGGCGCCCCGAATCAAAAGGTAAAACCTTTCCTTGGATTTGGCTTGAGCATCAGCTGGGTTTGCAACATTTCTGGTTTGGTCAGGTTTGCGGGCAGGGGAGATGCTCGGCGAAGCGTCCCACCACCACCACGATCCCGTACCTGGGTCAATCAAATTGGATGAGCTTGGCCGTTCTTGTGCCAAAACTGTTGTTGGGGTTGGGATTGGACCTGTGCCGAGGGCCAATGAGATTGCTGCTGTAGTACCTGAGCTTGCCACAGAATTGGCATGCCCTGCGGTCTTTTTCTTTGTGCTCACTCTTTTCAAGGAGTCCGATGATCTAGGGGAAGAAGAAGTTTTTTCAATCATCCCCAAGACATGTTCCAAATCCTTCCCTTGATTCAAACACGATTTCCTGACCTGCTTTTAAAGAAGTTGAAAAGTTGATTTCCAAAAATATTGATTCCCAGGGTTCCCACACCGGGTCCCGCACCTGTTCCAACACCACCCAGGGTTCCCACACCAACCAGAATTCCCAGCAACAAACGGAAGGGCAAAGCACAGAAAGGGTTTTGCAAATCCTATTCTACTGACTCTGACTGGGCCAAGGCCCAGGACTTTCGTGGAACCTGGCCTCATTCACGGACCATTCAATTTTAGTGGAAGGGTGGACCCTTTAGAAACCTTTCAAAGCTTCTTGGAAGGTATTTTGGAGGTACTCGTGAAGCAGTGCTTGCTGACACCCTTTCCGTACACACACCCTGCATTTTGGATTTCCCAGGAAGGAGCAGGTTTCCAAGCTTTTCATCATGGGGATGGTCGGTGCCAGGTGGAAAGTTGAAAGAATCACCAAAAAATATTACCTGCTTTTAAAGAAAACAGTGATCTACCAGGCTGCGACCGTCGCAACCTCTTAGAACAGTCACTAGCGCTAGCGATGGTTCTAGTGGAGTTTTCACTTCGCCGGAGCAGCCTCTAAGTACCGACGGTCGCAAAAACTTTCTGCGAAGGACAGTGTTTTGAGTCAGGTCCAGGACCAGCGAAATCAGGACCCCCCCTGAGCGTCTCACTAGCGCTAGCGATGGTTTTAGGAGGGGGCGACCGTCGCACTCTGTTAAATCAGTGTTTTCCTTAAATGCAGGTAATATTTTTTGGTGTATTTTTCTGTGCAAACCCCCCTCGAGGAGCACTAGCGCTAGTGACGGTTTATTTTTTTATTGTCTTTCTGCAAAGGGCCGCCGACGAGCGTCTCACTAGCGCTAGCGATGGTTATTTATGCAATGTCTTTTCAGCAAAGGACCTCCCTACGAGCGTCTCACTAGCGCTAGCGATGGTTTAATTATGTATTGTTTTTTCAGAAAAGGACCTCCCGACGAGCGTCTCACTAGCGCCAGCGATGGTTTAATTATGTAGTGTTTTTCTGCAAAGGACTCCCCGACGAGCGTCTCACTAGCGCTAGCGATGGTTTGATTCTAGGGTGCCGCAAGCGTTTGAAGCTGTCAGGTTGGAAGCTCGTGATTGAACATGGAAAGTAATATTTGTTCAAAATCAACTTATCAACGTCTATAAAAGCAGGCCAGTTTCCAACCCTGGATCACAACATGCGAGTCAAATCAGGATTCAAAGGTTCATTTTTCCGTTTGGGCTTGCGTCTGTACTGTTTGCACCCACCATCCAAGGCCGCAGAGGACAGCCAAGCTCGTTGCTCTGCCGAGAACTTCTGAAAAATCGTTTCCGGACGTTTCAAAGCTCTGACAGGGTTGGTTTTGCAAAATGTCAATTTGTACTTAGTGCCCAACCACCAGTTCCTCAAAGCAATAGCTTTCTTTTCCTGAAGCGTAATCTAGCTCTAGGGATCCGGCGTCCGCCACACTGTTGGGCCGCAAAGGCCACACATTGGGTTTTCTTTCCAACATGGTCAGAGTTAACATGTCGACGATCGCGTCGCCTTTTGTGCTTGAAGATCTAGATCGGCGGGATCTAGAAAAGTTTGCTTCGGCCAGAGCACTGCATGTAGATCCACAGTGCCACACAAACCCCAAGACACCCACCCCCCCAAAAAAAAGGGAGCGAGTTGAAGTGATCATCGTCAGAGTATAGGTGCAAAAGTTCGATACGGATTGATCTTGAGAGCAAACATCGTGGTTGAAACAGGCCCACACTTGCTGCCAAGGTCACTGGTAGATTCGCCGCTGCTCGCAAACAAGCAGTTCAGCACTGGCTCACGACCACGGCTGGTCTTTTCATCAGCCCATCGCCACAGCGAGGACTTTGAGTGAAACTGGTGGCCTCTCAAAAGGCCAGTAAATCGGTTCAAATTTGATAATGTACCGATTGGTGCCGAAGCAGAGACCGTAGGAACTCCCATAGCGAACGTCAGCATCAGCAGCTTCAGCCCAGCCAAAGAAGCCAAGCCAAGCCTTCGGGTGGGCCGCCCTTCACGATTAGCCACACTCTGTTTACAAGTCTGCCTTTCTTTCTTTTTGGCTTTTGAATGGCTTTCAGTAAAGCCTTTGTTGCCTCTTGTTTCAATTTTTGAATCTTGAGCACGTATAAGCACCTGTTCCGGGGCCTCCTTCTTCTCCAGAGCCTGCACAGCAAACTTGTAGTCCCAGCTCGTCACGAAATGTCACGGAGAGGTTCGTGTCACGTGCGAAGACATGGCTCTTGCAACGGCATACCGTTCTTTCATGTCTTGTGCACCTTGAGCCTCCATCGAATGTGGGGGAAGTTTTTGCAGGGAGGGAGTGGGCGACGATCCCCAAGCCAGACCACGGGCTTCCGTGGACATTCCCAGATGGCTTCCCATTGCATGGAAGAATCATCCGCATCCCAACTGTACAAATGGCTTAGCTCAGTCACAATTGACTCGTAACTGCTCTTTTTCCACAAACGAAGGGTCTTTGGCCGGGGCACGCATTTAAGCGCCGAATTCGCCGAATTGCTGTGCGCACGGCCGCACCCTGCCTCTTGAGCAAAGAAACCATTGAGCCACGGGTCCTTGCCTGGCCTTTCACCTCATGTAATGTCATAGAATATCTCTCTCTTTCTCTGGTGGGGATGACTCGTCAGAGAAAAGAACGAAAAACAACGAAACCTCATGGACTGTCAATGGACAGTCCAAAGGTCAATGTAAGGAAACCAAGGCTCGCCCGAGTGAGTCATATCGAGGCGGTTGAAGATCCGTTCCATGTACTTCCTATCCTTCTCGTGCTCCTTACATGGAACGGCAGGGCTGGTGGTCATTGACGTAGATTGTGAGTGGTGGGCTGCCAATCAACTTTTGGGGAACAACATCACCTTTACAATGGCTGTGGACATAAGGAACTGACACAAAGAAAAGCTTGTTGGATTGCTCCTCTCGAGTTTCATGCTCTAGCTCCTGTGCCAGATTCAGCACATCGTTTTGGCGACTTTCAGCAAAAGAGTCAACAACTACCTCGGCATGTCATTGAATGCCCCTGTAGCCCTCCTACAACAAACCACATATATACATATAAACCCAAACATCAAATTGCAAGCAGATGATCACCAGTGTCTGCCTCTGCTTGCTTAACTGGCACCAACTGCTGGTGCCATCAGCAGGGAAGTGGCTCCATTCACTTGGCTAGCTCTCTTCACTTGGCAACCAAGCACACAAAAAAAGAACGTGTAGTGTCTGTAGTGTAGTCATTCACTGTTGCAGGAGGATTGTCTAGTTCACTACAAAATCCAGCAGCATCAGGCACACATTCTTGCAAGCAAGGCATCTGAAGGGCAGCTGCCACAACGAGCATTGCAACAAGAACAACAAGAAGTAACCGTCCGTGAACCCATTGAGTACGGGGGGCCATTCATTCCCACCATCCTGCACAGTCCTGCAAGCATAAGCAACATGAACCGTTTTCAACATCAAAGCTACAGTACTGCTCTTGCACTTGTCGTGAACGTGAAACAAACGAAGCCTTCCAGACGGACCTCGGGGATACCCTGGATGTTTCGCGCGTGAACCCATTGCAGTGAAAGTGTTCTTTTTTCGGGCTGCAAAGGCACAAGCTGTCCAAAACTGTCCAAGTTACTGCAATCAGCAGGTTCAAGACCCCGAAAACCGTCGTCATGAGCGACCCGCAGAAGATGATGGCCGTCGCCGGGCTGTGCTCGATCACTGGTACGGCAATGTGTCCCCAGCTGTCGCCAGCAATCACTGTCTTGAACAGCAACAGGTTTGCTGCCTCAAGGTGTCTTGTATAGAGGCATCAAGAGCACTCCTTTTCTTGATGAACCATGATGAAACTAGCGATTTCAACAAGTGATCCATGGTCATCTCAATAGAACGCCTCTAAGATCGTCCACTAAGGACAGCTTTCAATTTCCTACAGGTTCTGGAGAGAAAAACACACACACTCGGATGGAGAGCTTAAACATGCCTCAGACTCCACCACATGGAGTACGTGGACATGGAACTGGACGGAAAGAGTGGAGTGAGTGGACCAATCATGAGCATCTTGCTTCCAAACGTCCAAACAAGCATTTTCGCACTGCATTTATTCTACCCGGGCGACATGCACAGAAGGGTCTGCGGCTGCAGTTTGACAAACAGTGTTTTCTAGCTGCTAGCTATACATGATGTATACATATACATACTGTATATATATATATATAGTAAAATGACAAAGAACATGTTTGAGAAATCAACATGTGGAGACCATTGGATTCTCCAAGCGTCCATGATTGAAGAAGTTGACCTGATGCATTCTGGACAGTCAAGTACCGCCTCCTGCTGCATCTGGACCACCAAAGGATGGACGAATTCCACCATCAACATCGCCTTGGATCCGGGGAACAGACTCACCAGGACCACCAGGACTCCGATTTTGAGATGTTTTCCGAGCAGATCGGAAAGGAAAATGAAAGTATAAAGCAAAAACAAGACTGGCTGAATTCGGACGGAAGTGGCCCAGAAGGTCATGAAGGCAAAGCAAAATATAAACGACCAACCTGACAGGGCTGCAGCGACCCTAGGATGAGGAGAAGAGATAAGAAACCCACATGGCTGACGGGGACTTCACAAGAGTCAGTGGTCTGACGCTCGGTCACTGTGGCGCTCAGGGCGGTCCGACCGAGGACTTCCGCGAGTGCTTCGGTCGAGTGTCTGACACATCCTGTACTTTTACAAGCAAGGCAACGTGAACCACAGCGAACCCTTTTCAAATATCTCCATGACTGGTCACTATACACCAAGGATCTTGCTTTTGCCGCTTTGTCTCGTGTAGTTTCTCTATCTCTCAACTATTGACCTTCTCCAAAAGCGCCCCGTGGTCCCTGCCGGCCTAGAGTCTTCATGCAGGTGGCCATCATAGAGACCAACTTCCGTAACTCCTTCAAGGACCGCGTCCGTTGCAAAATCCGTGCCACGCGCATCACCCGAATCACGCCTGAGCCGGCGACAGGAGAAGTAGGCTGAACATGGCTGAACTGAACCCGATCGGAAGCCCTTACGGATGGTTTAAGCGCATTGCTTCCCGATGAATGGAGGATATGATGGTTTCCCTCCGGTCTCAATCCCGGTTTCGGCCCGAATTGCACTTCAGTGGCTATGTTTTGTTACATTAATGTGACTAATCTCCGTGCCGTGGGATCGATCGGATAAACCCTCAAAACATCGAGGGTAGCGGACCAATCTGACCTCTCTCCCATACACCGAAACGACCTACGCCGTGAAGAAACACTGGCCCGATGCAAAACGAAAACTCGTTCGCTTCCATGCACCCGCGCCAATATGACTGCAACACTAAACATATTATTTCAAACTTTCCCCTCTATAGAGGGCCCTTTCTGTTTTCAAGTCAGTATACTGCTCGATCTATGTTGTTCTCAATGTTGTAGTTGATGTTGCAGTCTCATGTAAACTTTAATGTTGTCACTAACGTTCTGAAGATGGGATTGGTTTGGCATGATTGTCCGCTGCTTTTCCCTTTGGCAGTGGCACAGGCTTCCAGTTCTTCAGGCATGAAATTGTGTTGATTATATACTACTATGATATGATAAAATATGATATGATATTATATATTGTGATATACTGTGTATACTGATGATATACTGCCACTGATGCTGATGCTGATGCTTTGTAAAACTAGACTGGACAAGTACCTCTTAAGTAGCAGTGGCCCTTCAGGTGTGCAGCATGGTGTACAGATTGCAATTCTAAGACCTAAGACTGACCTGCCCACAAGTGCGCTCTGGCCATGGACGGCCTGGAACAACAACCTGTTTCAAAGTGAAGAAAGAGTAGTTCCTTGGTTCAAGTGAGATGAAAGGAAGTGGTGAGAGCAACAGTCAAGAACCAGTAACCCAGAGGTCAAATTTTATTATTATTGTAGAACTGGAGTACTGTAGAACTACTGTACTACTGTAGAACTACTGTACTACTATTGATCTAACAAATTGTAAAAAGGTATATAGTCGGGATTCTTTTGGCAGCGGGTATTGTGGCGCAGTTGCCTTTGAAGCAGGAAACCAAGAATCAACCGAATGCACGAAGTGTGGACTCCAAAGGGACGTTGTTTCGGGCCAGTGCGCGGTAACTGTTACTGCTCATAGTAATTCTCTCCGTGTAGCGTGTGTCCACGGGCCTTCGATACACTGGTCTGCACAACCGGGCTGAACGGCTATGCCGTTATGCCATGCTTCATGAAGCGTGGACTTCTCACCAACCAACAAGAAACATTCATTAAAGAAAATCGTGACAAGAGGTCTCACACCTATAAAGTCTTCGACATGAACCAGCCAAAACAGCATCATGTCTGGGAAAAGTAACCTCAATCTTGACAAGTCGGCTCTGATCAAGGTCTTTTCCTTCCCCTTTTCCTGCAAATCCAGGGCGCGCACCAGCCGTAGCTCCCTCACAAAACCCCAGCTCGATCCTCCGAAAGACTCAAAGATCTGGAAACAAAACACCATGTAGCCTGATCTGTTGGAGCAGATTCGGCGCGAGGTGTGGATACGCATGGAAGTGGATGGAACGTCACATTTTTGGTGGCAGTTTCTATTTCACCGAACCTAGGGCTTAAAAAACAGCATTCTAAGCATTATTGTGTATGTGACATTCAGCATTGCTTGTACACTGTTTAGCACGTTTGTTGATTGACATGATGTTTAGTGGGGTTCTGTCTGTTTATTGCACTACATGTATCATCATGTATCAGGTTCGAAGCCAACTTAGCACCTAGTGCAAATCATTATATTACATTGTAACTTAAGCATCATGATATGTAGATTTTCCGTAATTATCTTTCTATGTAGGGAAGAATGATAGTTACGGACAGGTTTCAGCCAACGCATGTCTTTGAAGTGCACGACAGTCCGACTCGCCAACATCGAAGTGGAATCCACCCTGTTTTGAAAAGGAATATCCTCATCCAAGGGTCCATTTCCCACTTCCATGTTAGTGAGTCGGAGGATAGTTGTTGTGAAATTGAGCGAGCAACACACATCCCCTAAGAGATTCTGAGAGTCATGAAGATATAATGCTGGCATTGCGAACTTGCTGACCAAAAGCATCATTGTCATTAAACAATGAGAACGTGCGGTTGAACATGTCAGCAAGATTAAGCAAGTATTCCACGACATTGCGGCAAGGAACAGCGCGCATCTTGCGAGTAGTGTTGCAAAACTAACACACACACATATATATATATATAAAGAATAAGCAGCACCTGTTTTCTTATTCGCTCTGCAGCAGGTTTGTCAGAAAATAAAAAGAATTGGGAACCAAAAAGAAACTCCCGAAAATCGATTCGATTGTCCCCCCCCCCCTTCCTGGTTCACAACACACGGAAAGCGGCGTTCCCGGGCAATCGTCCCCCCCCCGGCCAGGTGGACCACACCACAAACCCTGGCCGGGTCCTAAGGGACACCAGCATTGTTTCTTTTTCACCTCGCTGCTGGTTTTTTGAAAAGCTTGGAATTCTTTCTCTTCCTCCCAAGTCCCCCCAGGCCTCGTTTGGACGAGGACGGCCTGTTGCTTTGCAACGGCTCAAGTGTTTCAAATTCCCTGGGGTTTGAATTCTGAAAAAAGATTCGGTAAGGCGCCAAAGTCTTCTCTAAAGGTCCCAACTTCATTTCCGCCAAAATGGCCCTGGATTCGTTCAGGTACAAACGTGCTGTCTTTCACAATTTAAACAATTTTCTCCACCGTGGGGGAGAAGGACACAGCTTCTGTTGGGGTGAGGCAAGGTGTGTCCAGTGCTGTACATAGCGGAAGACGGTGTCATGTCTCAAGGAAACACTCTCTTGGACCCCTGCTCTCTTTCCAGCTTTCGTGAGACCTAGTGCTATCACTGCTGTGCGGAGTTTGGCGGAAATTTCAACATGGTTGCGGCTGACATCTAACAACTCGCCTGTTCGTAAAGTGCCGTAAAAACACACTAGAAGGCTAGTGGCAAATGCGACATGGCCATGGTATAGGCCCCATCCTACCATACTTTGCAGGACTAGTTCAGGGACTGGCGGCGCCCGATGTGGGAGTTCATGGGTGACCCACGTCTTAACGAGTCTCCACGCGCCAGGGAGGTGTCCCCGAATCTTAGCGTCGTAATCCTGCAAAGAGGCCAGGGTGTTGGCGGCCAGACCGCGCCCCTCCCCCGAAATCCAGTCTGCGCCTTTGGTAGAGACCAACCCCGCCAACTGTTTTATCAGGGCCTGCTCCGGGACTCCCGATCTGGTCTGGTCGATCCTCAGCGATACCCTTCATCAATCTGGATTGGATGTAAGTAAGGGTTCCCTTCCAGCTTCAAGCGAGTCATCACGTCCTTTGGAGTCAATCGAGGGCCCAGGCCAGGTGTACCAACTAGCTGGCCCAGAAACTATGTCACTACAGGAACCGACCGCCCATTCCCAATGAGGCTATAAGGCGCTTGTCGTTGTATTCAATAGACTTGCGCTGGTCCTTGGTCATGCGCATCTGCGTATAGCCCACTGGGAGCCCCATCATGTACTCTCTCTCCGCGACGTTTGGGATCCGACATTCCAGCTTCCGGTTGGTTAAGCAGTGACGGGGAAGATACTGGTATGGCGGGAATCGATGGCTGTCCGACTCCCACCGACGAATAGTATCATCGCCACAGGCCTGTAGCCCTGCTGGCCTGTGGCCGCGTGTAGCTCGTGGTCGCGAAGTGGTGAACGTTGGGACCACCCCGCTTTGACGTTGTCTTCACAGGGCTGGTCCCCGAACAAGGACAGCTCATGTCCGTGCACTTCGACTCCGTCGTCAGACACGTTGAGGATCCCAAGTCACCCAGTATAATCGCGGTCGATTGCACCAGGTAAGTGTCCCAGCGTCGCATGACCAGGGCCAATCCCCGAAAGATTGGGACATGATGTCTTTGTCAACCTCGTCCATGGAAGCAACACTTTCCATCAGGGTATGTACTTGTGCTCACGGGAAGTGATATTGCACTAGCGTCTGCAAGCGCTTCACATGAGTGAACAAGCAAGATCTCTCATCCCGTAGTGCTCCTTTGCGCTGACTATTCAACCCCGCCGACACGCCTTGACAGGGCGGACCTGCCCCGAGAATCACCATCTGAACCTGCCCGTACATCAGCGACCAACTCACCACGTCCTTCTCCTTCACCTCAACAATGTCAGGGTAGTGCACTGTTCCTGGAAAGTGGTGCTCCACTACGCGCCGTGCACAAGGGTCCTTCTCAATGGAGATGTGCCCCGCCACATCGCAACCCAAGAGGTCCAGGGCCACGCGCAAACACCCAATGCCATCAAATAGGCCGATGCTCAAGATACGTCCTCCTCGGTGACTTTGCATCTCTCCTGTTGAACTTCCACTAGCGACTTGCTCTCCAAATCTGGTCAGGCTGTGGCTGCACATACTCCTCCTCCATGTTGTGAGGCATCGCTACAAGTGACGGTGGAGTTCATCTCAAGGCGGAAGTTCATTCGATATAAGGCAAAGGAAACGATAGGTCTCAAGCTTCACACCCTTTGGGATGGGCAGTCGATGCCGTCCTCGCACGTTGAAGGACTCAATGTAGTTCCAACAGAGGTTCAACCCTCCGAGAAGCTGTCGTCTAAAGGTTGAGAAAAATACACCAAGCCTCCACACACCACTTGCATTTGGCGTTGCGTTGCATAGGTCTCCTGCATTAGCTGGTGCGCGATGGTGACGTATTTGGAGAGTTTTTGGCCCTTGGGGTATGCCAACCCCCGTCGCCCATCCACCACCACCGCACCCTGGACCTCCGCCATAACCTGTTGGCTAACCCCCTTTTTCGGGTGACGAGGAAGTCCCCATTCCAGGTACTCCTTTCTCAAGGCCTCAACCTCAGGGGCTGAATCCCCCCCTTCCTCCAGCAACGTTTCCCGTGGGTACTTCTCCAGGAGGTCATAGTTGTCCAGATAAACGCGCCACACCGTCGGCCCGGCCGGCAACACCTTGTCTTTACGGATCTCGCACTTCTCGGTGTCGCGTGAGTGATTGTGTTGCTGCGATCGTAATACCAGGGCACGCGTATCCGTAGCAGCTGCGTAGCACGCGCAAGCTGCCGGCAAAGCGCACGCACAGTCCTTATATATAGTCCTGAGAGGCGTGAGCCCCCCCCCCGTCCCCCCCCCCCCCGAACTGAAACGCCGCTTGTGTCTGGTGGCATTAGCCGCGGACCTGACCGTCGCCATCTGAGAAATCACAGCCGAATTGACCCCTCGCTCGTCCCACCCCAACCGTGCGAGCACCGGGCTGGCAGGGGGAGGGATATTCCGCAGGTTTTTGAAAGTATCGCAAAACAAAAAATATGGTTGGTGCTTGGCGCGTGAGAAGATTGGCAGTCATGACAGAAGTCCCGGGCCGGGGCACGTCCCGAAATAAAGTGGGCGTCGCAATGCAATCCACCTGAAGCCACTGCAGCTTCGTCCCCAGTAAATTGACGAGCCGCTCTGTGCAGCGCGCAAACCGTGATTTGCAATCCGGCGTTCCTAGCTATCACAGAGTCATTTCGAGGGGCGTCCAGCCAGGTTTGCAGCTTAGCCCGTCTCCACCACTGACGCAGCAGGTGTTCCGATTTCTGCTGGTAGGGGATGGAGGAAAACAGGCACCGGGCTAAGTCCATTTCAGGGGTTCACGCCGGAGAGGCCTCAGCACATTGTCAACAATCATTGTCAACAAGCTTTCGTGTGGCCTCCAGAGACGGGCCGTCTTGAAGGCCATTGAAACGAGCGAAACGACCAAAAGCACGTAAAGTCCGAGAGGCGAGCGTCAGAGCCAAGTCACTCTGATGTCCCACCAAGAAAAAGTCTTGAAGATTCCGATCGGCATGGTCTCCCGGGCTATGGCCTTTCACAGCAGTCCTAAAAATGGAATGAAAGCGATCACGTTCAGCTTTAGTGGGGGTCTTACCATTGAGCAGCCCCCCCCAGGTGATGATGGGAGGAATGGTAATGTTGGCAAGTCTGGCTCGGAGAGGAAGGGAGACCGGCAGAGCCGAGCATCGCTCGGCCACTCTCTCCGCCCGAGTCTATCTGGCTTTTTCTTTCGGTGACACTTCTCTGTTTTGTTCACCAAAAGTAATACCCAAAACCTCAACAGCAGGTTTAGGTTCAAGGCCTGCAGCCTGCAGTTCCGCCTGTGCTTCAGCAGTGGGGCCATAAAACTGGGTTTTGCGATCAGCCGTTCTCATGCGAGTGTGGCTTTCCAAGGTTTGCCAACAGGTAATAGCACCCTGAATCGAAGTGCCTGCAGCGTCTGGGCAGCCATGGATCTGTCGTCCAAGTATAGGAAACAACGGCGCTGTTGCGAATCAGCTTCAGCCTTGCGCATAACCATGGAAAGCACTAAGGCCAGCGCCGTTGGGCTGAAAGCGTCGCCCTACGGAAGTCCTTGAGGGGCATGCAAAGGTCGCTTAGCCACATGTCCAGCGTAAGTGATCCATCGGGTCTGATGACACCATTGGTTTTC